TGTTTGCTTTGCTTTGTGTATTTAGCCTTCCCACACCCAAGGGCCACTCTGCAAGATCATCCACAAGCCCCTCTTCCCGCATGGGAAAGTCTGGTCACTGGATCCGCTGTGTTTTTTCAGTTTGTAAGGTTCCTGAGTTGCCCTTCTTCCTGTACCTCCTCCCAATCTGACCTGTACTGTCCCCTACACTGTAGGCTGGGGCATCCTGGGCGCCCCCTGGCCAGTGTTCTGTACATAGCCAGTTCCTGTGTCCAGCACTGGACATCCATTTCCTCCATGCCAGCTTCTTCTCGGGGTGCCCCCTAGCTTCAGTGGGCTATAGTCTCCCAAGGTTTATACTCTGCATGTTGAAAACATTTGATTCTATCCTCTCTTGATTAGCTCAGTTATGCGAAAGCTAGCCGTGAAGCTAACAGCCCACCGCCCCCCCTCCCTCTAGGCCCTCTGCAAACACTGGCTTCTGCTCCTTTGCCTGTGTGCCTTCCTTCTTTCCCTTGCCCTCTCTATTGGCTTTCAGCACTTTTCTATGCACGCAAGTTTCAAAATTCCCATGCGATTTGCTTTGATTTGGCCTCTTTATTATACAAACACCAATGAGCCCTTTCAATCTGAGGATTCGTATCTTCATTTTGAAGAAATACTATTTTTTTAAAGTTAATTTTCTAATGGTTCATTTTTTTTTCTTAAGTACTTGGAACTTTTCTGGAACTGATCCATAAATTCTCCTCCTCTTCTCGCAGTGTCCATCTCTCTTCTCCTACTTTCTGAATTGGTTCTTCAATCCTTTCATTGAGTTTTTATCTGAACTCTCATATTGTTAATATCCACAAGTTCTTTATTGTCAGTTCTTTTTAGTAAAAAACAAACTACATTCCATTCTTTTTTCAAGGATTAACGCCTTCTTTCATCTGAGAACATCATGTCTTCTTTGAAGTATTCTTCTTTTCTCAGTATTGTCTCTATTTCCTCTGAGTTTGTTTTTTCTTTGTTTCTTTCATTTTGGAGGCTTTCTTCTAATATCTGATTATACTTTGATGCTCCGCGTCATGTTTAAGAGTGAGTCACTTAGAGACAGGAGAATCTTTGAAATCGGCTCATAATAGGGTCAGGGAGTAACTGGAGAGTTTTTGTAGGGGGGGGGGTCAGCAAATATGAGTTTCTTCAGGCTTTTCCACTGCAAAGGCTCCCGCAACAACCCTAAAGGGCTGCCAGTCAGAGCTGACCAGTAGACAGGACCTGGGAATATCACCATCTGAACACAGAACGTGCGGGAATCTCCAGATTCCAAATCCATTTCTTTGTCTGTGCTACGCAGTGCTTGCTGGTCCCAAGCTTAGAAGATCTTGGGCTGTTTTTCAAAGATGACCTGCACGGATGTGGAGAAATGGTCCCAGGTCACAGAGGGGTTTGAAAGTCTTAGGACCCCCAGGGAGCCTTTCTGATGGGAAACCACCCACTGTACCGCCTCACCGAGCGAGCAGGGTGGGATGAGTCAGCCGCGCCTGCCTCTGTCCCTCCACAGGCACTTGGCTTTGACCTTTCCGCCTCCTGCCAAGTCATGCACCCCCCTCCATCCACTTTCCATCTTTGTGTCCTGTGGCTTACGGTTATTTACGTCTTCTTGGTTTATCAAAGACAGAGTTTATACTTCCTCTTCTTAACATTCTCTGTTGTTTGGGGACGATTTTTAAGAATAGATTGAGTGAAAGACAGAGAAAGAGCAAATGTGTCTTTATTTAGATGTTTTGAAACCCAAAGTCTCTAGCCTTTCTTTTTCCTAAGCATTTGTTGCACCATACTCTTTGGTATCATTCTGATTCATAATTTCTGGCTTCTGGGCTGTATTTGTAACTGGGCTTTGTTTTGCTGGTCCCAGACATGTGGCATTTCATTTATTAATGAATTAACCATTTCCCCATCTCCTAATGATGGCCCATTTACAAGCACCATCATCTGCAGCTGAGCGGGATATACTATAGCATGTCAAACAGCTGGGGACATACTCGTCTCCAGTTTCTCTGCTGCTTAGTGTCCTGGCTCCCAGGCTGACTGCCCTTTGTCCCCTGCCCCTACCAAGGACAACCTCCAGGGACAGCCCCACTCCCTGCCCCCACAAGACATCTCTGTCTGTGTCCTTTCTCCCTGTTCTGCTGGGCTGCTCATCATGGCTTCTCTGTAACCCCACCTCCTGGATTACAGTGGCTTCCAGCATCACCGGGGGTCCTTCCCAGGTGGTACCTTCCACCCTGCACCCATGGAAGTGGCCCCCCACTACACCTTCTTCAGTTGTATGCTGTGTGCCATTTATTTCCTAGCAGGCCACTACCTGATGCTTCAATGGAAAAAAAAAAAAAAAAAAAAAAAAGAGCATTTTCAACCATTCATCCATCTCTAAAATCACTTCAGGTTTTATGCTCTGATTTTTACAAGAGTCTCATAGACAGTTGGCACTTGGTTAAAGACTGCCGATGACAGGCTGAAGGTTCTGTGTCACTGGGGTGGGTTGGGGGACAGACTTCTTTTCACTTAATGACACTGGCCCACTTAGAAGTGTCATTGGTACAGCTCAGACCAACCGGCAGCAGCGGCCAGGGACTCCACACTATGCGCTACACTGCCGCTGCTGGCATGAGATGGTACCAATACCAAGATGTATTTGTATTTTTTACTTCAAAAACAGACATAATCAGAACTAATTCCAAAAATTCAAGTATTTATTTCTCTGTTATCTTCTTTTCTTCTTTCTTATTCTCCTTTCTTTCTCTCCTTCTTTCTTTCTTCTTAAGTCAGGGTCTCACTACCTACATCAGGCTGTCCTCTAAGTCATGGCAATCCTCCTGCCTCAGCCTCCCCAGTGCTAGGATTATAGGTACGCATCAGCATGCCTGCTACTTCTTTTTCTTTAGATGTATATATTAAGGAAAAATATTTCATTTTACCAATCCTCCCATTAACAAAGAAATGAATCTCTGAACTCCAGACTTCCCTCCAGATATCCAATTAGCTCTTTTTTCACGCATTGCCAGGCTTTAAATCCTAGCAACTTTTCTATTTGCTTACCGCTTACAGACTCTTCAGCCCCTGCCTGTCTCAAATCGTTCTTGCCAAGGGGGTGTTTCACTTTTGAGGAAGAGGGTGAAAGAACCTAGAGACTTCCACTGAGCTGCATTCTGAGATCCTTTTCACTTTTTGGATGTAGGGTCTCGTTATACTGCCCCAACGGGGCTCAAAGCTGGATCCAGGCTGGCAAGATAACTCAGAGGACTAAGCATCTGCTTAGGCAAGCACAGGGACCAGGCTTCAATCCCCAGCACCACATGCCACGCCGGCCTCGACCTGGGGCATGCTGCGCCAGCCTCCCAAACCAGACGTGGTGGCACATGGCTACAATCCCAGTGCTAGGAGGCTGAAAACAGAAGGATCACCATGCGTCTGAGCTGCATAGCGAGACCCTATACCAAACACATTTTTTTTTTAAAGCTAGGATCCTCCTGCCTGAGCCTCCCAGAGTTCCAAAATTCCAGGTATGTACCACCACACCCAACTGAGTTCTTGTCCAAGTTTTATTCAACTTCACTGTCACTATATTAAAGACTTTGCCTCACGTAGCCACCTGGTAGCAGTTGGCAGCACTGCCAGTGCTCGGCCACTGTGCACGCCTCTCGTTTTCCTGCTGTATCTCAGAGCACTCCTCAATCTCTTTAGTAGGCATCTCCTCTTCCGCCCTTTTAGTTCCTCCCACGCCATATTTCTACTCTAGATAGTTCCACAGTATGTCCCTGCCACCGCTTGCCCAATGCTATCAGTGTGACCATCGGTGTTTCTTGACTGACATCTACAGCTCCTTGGACAACTTGAGGCCCCAGCTGGGACATGCAAAGCTTTCTAAACCTGGGTCAGATCTGCACCAGCGTCACACCTACCTCACTCTATAATAATCGCCTACTTGCTCGCCTGTGGTCCCCTGTCAGCTCATTACCAGTGAGGTAAAGAGCATACCTGTTATATCTCCAAAGCCACCATCAAATAAGTAACAGTTAGATGATCAGTAAGCAAATGAACAAACACACCATCAGATCAAAAGCCGTTCCAGGGCAGGCACATGTTACATTTGGACTTTGTTTCCACCTCAGTAAGGGAGCTATCATTCTCCTCCACTAAGCCATGAAGGGTAACAAATGTGTACGTCCACATGACACCAAAGAAAATCCTTCCTGAGCCTTTGCTTTCTCCCCTCCCTGCCTACACACAAAGTTCTCAAAGTGCAAGGTACTATGTGCTTCCCAGAGACTGAACATGGCTGACGCTTCCAAAGCCTGCCTAGTACCTGGTCTGCTTCGAAACGATCTATAAACCTGGTCGTTTATGTTCTCGGGGCAGGCAGAACCCTGCCAGCATTTCATTTGAACACCAAAGCACTCATTAAAGCTGAGCACGCCTGCTCTGAGACGCAGTCAGAGATTTATGTGAGCTTGTAAAGGGAAGGCTTGCTGACCTCCTGTAGGATTTATATTCCCTTTAAATAAGCATTTCCTCCTCGCACTACAATATTTTTTAAGTTTATTTCGGTGACTAACCCACTGGCATAAACAGATATGCTGCTCGGTGCTTTATTACCTGCTCTTAATCCTCTTTACCCACTGCTTGTCAAATATTTAATTTAAGGTTGTGGGTGAAAATAAGCAGGCCCAACTGTGAGGCCTAGAATTTCTTACTCTAACTTCACCTTGGTAATGAAGTCATCTTTTCAAAAAGACATCTTTGTATTCAAAGCCCATACTTCATTTAAGACCATTTAGCACAGTAACACAGAGATATGTTCCCTCTCGATGTGAAGGACTGCCTCACGGTAATTTGTCACCAGCAGGACTTAAGTGACAGTGCTTATTCCCCTTTTAGTAAAAAAAAAAAATCATTCACAGAAGACACCTTGATTTTGAGACTGAGATGCGAATGCCTTAGGAAGGGACGTGGGAGGTCTGCGTACCGACGCTAGTTACCTTGGACAGCTGCATCCCCAGGACTGTGAGCGTCACAAGGCCAGCACAGCAGACCAGAGCACTGGAGCTGGACAGGCCGGAGCTTGGCGGGATATTCCCATCTACCAGGCAGTTCATCCCAGTCAGGTCACGAAGCCCAAAGTGTTCCTGAGGATGTAAGGAGGAACAGCAAGCATAAGCTCAGGGTTGGATTCAAGCGGTGGCAAAACCTCCTTCCGTTCCCCCAGAGAACAAAAGCCACCCCCAGTCCTCCTATAATATCTACGGACATGAGTCATGCCATCTGAGTTGGTGGAAACGACACGTAATACCTGCTCTAACAGCTCTTACCCATGAAGCAAGGTGATCTCCAAATAACATTTTGCCTTGTTCAGCACAGAGCTGGGCATCCCTCCTACAAGTCACTGTAATGCTTTGTCTTGACAGTTAATGATTTGAACACGATGGAAAAATGGAAAGCAATTTTAATTCAACTTGCCACACAGTGAGACAAACAATTCACACTTATGAGCGAGGTAGGTACAACTCAGTACCGAAATACAGGATTACCGAAATCTAACCCCAACCAGGGCCTTGTCTCCATGAGGCATGTTGCTTCAGAGTTCCAAACTTCCCCAGTTCTGTCTTAGTTACAGAAAAACCTAAGCACCCAAACACCGGAGACACAGCAGCTTCCCCAACAGTGCACACAGGGCTGGCCAAAGGGCCCAGGTCTCCGGTTCCCACTGAAGTTAGAGACCTGCGCCGCAAGGCTGGCCCAGTGATTTAACAGGAGTCAGCTGTCTAAAGAAACACAGACTTTTTTTTAAAACTAGAATTCATAGGTACAGTGTAGCCACATGACAGCTACAGACAGCCACGTTAGAATTCAGCCACAGGTGTGCACACGCCTCCAAGCCAGGCAGGGAAACTCTATCTACAGATAGGAAAACCCAAACAAACTACCAGGAGCTGACTTCAAGACGGAAAGCTCTAATATGCTATCGAAGGCTAAGACACTTTGGACAACATCAGATTATAACCTTTGTGGTTTAGAATTAAAAATAAATTCAAGGCTAGCCTTCCTCAAGCAGAAGTACCATCACCTTCACGAATTACTCAAACAACTCAAGACCGAAGTATGAGTTACTATTGTAATTACCTAATTACGCATTTCATCATACATATTATTGTAGGGAGAAATTTCAATAAACCAGTTAGAATAACCAAAGTAACAACAAAACTTTGCAAATAAAAGACTGGCTTCCCCCACTTAATTTCTGTCCTTTTATCTTAGTTGGCAAAACTTGTGCACCACAAAAGAAGAGACTCATTTGGATGTGCTCCTCTTCTTGATTTCAGCCCTCTAAAAATTGTCTTCCAGAAATACAAACCAATTAGAAGCTGAGACAAGGCTGCTGCCAATGTCCTTTCATACAGAACATCAGACAGCTTGTTTAAAACAGCAATCCCGAGAGAATTCTGTACATTTCACTAGAAACTGGTCCACGGGGTATCTTGAATGTGACTCTACTCACAACACTTAGCATGCCATGTTTAAATCGAAACATACAACACACTCAGAAACACACGTGGGTTGTACCAGGCTCTGGGATGGCTCTGTCCCAACAGGATAGCGTGTTCAATTTCATATAAACAGACTACCCCCTGAACTTTCTGGTATCGAGTCTGAAGGTTTCTGAGCAGGATAACATTTAAATTACTTTCCTGCCAAAAGCTCATTGTACAAGTCTACTCTGTGCATATGAACTGTCAGGCCAGAAAGGACAGCTTGAGGCCCTAAAAGGCTCAACAGCCACCCAGAACCATGTGCACTGTGAGGCCCTGCACCCGTGTACTACAGGAGGCCATGCTGCTACAGGGAAGGCCAACCTGCATTTCCAGGGCAAATGCGTCCAAACGCTGTGAATCCCACTAATGCACATGACAAGCCAGATGATCTGAAGGCTTAAAACCTGCCAATAACTTTTACCAGAAGTTGTTACCACGTGTCTGAGAAAAAGACACACAAGACAGCCAGACAGACAGACGGACAGAGGCATGAGCAACCCCGAGCCCAGATCTGCACAGGTGGAGGGCAGGGGCTGCACATCAGCAGTACTGTGATGCCCTTCTGCCAAGGGTATGTTCCTGACTCCTACCTGACTCACAGCGAAGTTTCGGGCAGGACCACAAGACAGGCCTCGCTGCCCCCCGTGAACACCAGCCTGCAACAGCCTGCCTTCCCCACCCTCAGAAGTACAAGCTAGCAAAACGGAAGAGAAACAGCAGTTGGCACTGCTAATGCAGTGCACACCTTCCACAGCAACTCACCTGGATGCCTTTAAATCCACACAGGAAATAGTTGTGCCACCGAGGCTTGCTTTGGTCAATCTGAATGGTATTAGCACTAGTGCTGAAGTCCCTGCAAAAACAAGACCCGGTTGTTAAACCCTAGGCCTGGAGCTGCGGGATTGGTGGCTGACTGCTGCCACCTCGTGCCCAGACCTTGACATTGACAACCATCCACTCAGCACCAGTACCTCAGTCTCCCCAAAACAATGGCCACCTCCAGCTAAGGAAGGAAGCGGGAGTAAGCCCAGTGACTGATCCGCCTCTGACTGACCCTCTGTGTTACCTGCAGCAGATAGGGAGGAGCATATTTTAGCAGAACTCACAACCACACTCTCTCCCACACGGTCCTTGGAAGCTGGCACACAGCACACAAATGCATGTCCTCTGGGCCTGCAGTCTGTCGGACCCCAGCTCAAAGAAGAGTCCTCAAAACCCTCTTTCTCCACTCTCTCTATCCATCACACCTGACCACCTACTACAATGTGTAACAGATACTGTGAAAGGGAAAGAAATCACTCAAAAGGAGTGAACAACTGGGATGAGGGAAAAGAGAAATGAAAGGAAGGGGGAAAACACACACACACACACACACAAACACACACACGATAGCTAAGATAACTGTACTACCAGTTTACATTGGTTTATCAAAAGGAACACCTAATGCTTAATTTTTTATCGATTTCACATGCCTATATCTGATAATCTGAACTATTACTTTGAACACACCAAATGCAATGTAACCACAATTGTTGGTTTTGTATCATGTTTTGAAATTCTGTATCATCTTAATGTTTTTTTATATTTTATACTTTAAAATAAAATTTTAAAAATCTAAATCTGAACACTGTAAGAGAAGTAACAAGCAAAACAATTATTCCCGTGGTTTACAGCCTATTAAAAAATAAGAGTCTCTGAGCTGTGCTCACATACATGAACAAACACGTAAGCAGCTAAATGATGGAAAAGAGGAAACTCTTCTAGTAAAATACCAACTAATAGATAGAGAAGAAATATTGAATTGTATAAATGTTTCCAAAAAATCAATCAATGAGGGCTGACCTTGGACAATGAAAATGTGACAAGATGCATGCACAGACTCTCAGGATTTCTCCCAGCAGACTCATACTCACTGATTGCACAGAGAAAAAACAAAACAGAAACTTTATGGTATAAAAATATGGCAGACACCATTTTAATCAAACGGTCAGAATTAATATTACCAGCAAAGGGACATCAAACACTTCTTTGATATAGAGCATAGAGGATTCGTCCATGGACATGTGCGAATTCTTTGTATTGTTTTCGTGAATTTTTGGTAAGTCAAAAAATTCTTTAAAATGAAAAATAGGTAAATAGGTGGATACATACACAGACTCCTAAATCAGCCAAAGGTCAAAAGATTTGAGTTGGACAAGGGTCAACAGGAAGGAAGGAAATGAAACAACAACTTTCCCTACCTTGCTTGCACTATCTTATTAACATAAATACACCTTTCCCATCAAAAGCTGTTTAACCAGGGCTGGCCAGATAGCTCAGCAGACTAAAGTGACTGCTTAGGCAGATGCAGGGGCCAGGGTTCCATCCCCAGCATGCCGTGCCAGCCCCACCCCCAGGGCGTGCTGAGACAGCAATTGAGACTGGCCACGGTAGCATGCACCTGTAATCCCAGCACTTGGAAGGCTGAAAACAGGAGGATCACTGAGTTTGTGTAGTGAGACCCTACAGATCCTGTAATAAATGTATTTAAAAAAAAAAAAAAGCTATTCAATTTCTGCCAACTTCAGTGTGTAAGGCATGCAGAAGAAAATAAAAGCAAGAGTTGGTCTCTTAGCACGATGACACAAACACAGTCATAAGCCCACAGCAGCGATGTCCAGCGGGGGCGTGTTATCATGGATAGGATCTGAGGCTGCAGGGGTGTTATCTCTGTGGCTAGCACTGGGTAGAAAGCCAAGGCTTGCAGGAGGCTGGAAGGCAGAGTGCTTCTCCAGGCTACACGCTCTGACACCAGCTCACGAGCATGCATTCTGTCAGCACCCACAGAAGTTGAAACATGCTACCCCCGGCTAATGAGCAGCCATAGAATCTGGAGGCAGGCATGTCACCAAACCCGACGAGCTCTGCTGCTAACTAATAGGAGGCTTGGAAGTCATAAAGGCAGAAAGGAACCGTGGGAAGTGCGTATACTAGGAAAACATGAGGAGGGAAGTCGTATTGATGTGGGGAGCGAGATGAGTGACTTGCAGGAAAAGTGGAGAGAACCGACTGACAGAACCGGAGCTGCAGCTCACCTCTCTCGCAGGAAAACATGGCTCTTTTCATTGTTGCTCTTCATTCCAGCACCCTATTTTTTCCTTCTGCTTAGTCATCTTCAGAGGTTCACAAACAGGCTTCTTCCCTCCAGCTGTCATCCTCCAGCTGCCCTCCTCCCTGCCCAGGAACACCCAGCGACTCTCCTCTTCCACTCCCATGCTGCAGAATGCCAAGGCCACGCTGCTGAAAAGGGGCGGGTGTGCCTCACTGCATTCGACCTTTCAGCCGACGCACTTCATGTGCTCACCTAGTCTTCCAACAAACGCTCCCGTGCCTGTCCTGTGTGCTTGCAGCACTGGGCCAGACCATATATAACAATAGCAGCATCAAAAATATAAAACTCAGGGCTGGGGAGATAGCTCAGTAGAATAAGTGCTTGCCTGGAAAGCACAGCATCCTGAGTTCAATTCCTGGTACTGCAGGAGAAAAAAAAAATCGCAAAA